CCATCTCCTAAATGATGGTAGGGTTAACTCCTCAGAGGGGAGAATGTCATGGTAGTCTTGGAGGATATCAGGGCTCTATTGAAGCTCATTAAGGAAAAGCTACTTCCTCTTGGCCATGGAGACTCAACATTCCAGGTTACCCAAAACATAAGAGTTCATTACCAGCTTAACCTGTCAGTCACCTGGTCAAAAGACAGCACCTCAGAAGGGAAGATACACCTTAAACCAAGCTAAAGTGATGGGAGGAATAATCATCTCTTTAATGAGGTAATGCACTTGGACTTCCCAGAAGCTCGGCCCTCAGTGGGCAGACCTCTGTTAAGGTCTGCCTGCTCTTCTGTGTCAAAATGTAACATTTCCTTTTTCTTCTTTTCTCTCTCCGTTTTTGAAACTGGCCATAGCCTGAGCAAGCTTTCTTGGACACTCAGGTTTTCTCATCTTTTTCCCTGAAACGAACACCTCCTACCACTTCCATCATGTGCTGCTGACAAATGGCCTGGTTTCTCTCTTCCTTTTCTCTATCTTCCCCTTCTGGGCAGCTGCCTAGATTTACAGCTTGCTTGCTCTGGAATTTTTTCCTTAAAACTCCAATAAAATTGTTCTCAAGCTTCCTTGTAAGTCTGGTCTTATATTCTTTTGCTTATTTTTTTTTAAATATTTTATGTACTTATTTTATGTATATGAGCATATTACCTGCATGTATGTGAGTGCACCCGTGTTGTGCAATGCCACAGAGGTCAGAAGGGGGTGTCAGATTCCCCTGGAATTGGAGTTAAAGACAGTTTGCAGCTGTCATGTGGGTGCTGAGAATCGAACCCCGTCGTCTGCAAGAGCAGTCAGTGCTCTTAACAGCTGAGCCATCTCTCCAGCTCCTTAAATTCTTTTATTAATGAGATTAAGAACCTTGAGAGGGGATCCCAATTTCTTCAGTGACATGTCACACCCTAGCTGGGACTCCCCAAAATTTTCAGTAACAGTAGTTTATGAATCTTGTACATACAAGATTTTTCAACTTTCATAGAAACATAATAGCTAAATTACAGAAAACAAAGACTTTTAATATTTTCCCACCATCATCCCTCAGCATGTAAATATCAAAGTAATGTATCTTTTGATTGTATTGTGTTAGAATGTTTGACTTTTTAAAACTGCTGCTTGAATTGCTGATTTCAGTTTCATAAACAATCATTTGATAAAGTTTAGCTTGGGATTTCGACAGAACTTCCAACAATTTCTGAAGTGGCCCTAAACATACTTCTACTGTTTTGTACTACAGAATTATGGGAAAGTAGCATTCTCAGCACTGACATAATTATAAACCCTAAACATTGATCAACTCTGAAAAATGTTGAAAATGCTGTATGTCCAGAAAGTATCGAATATTCAGTCAAGATTCAATTCTTAAAAAACAAAAGTTAATCAATATCATTAGTGTGCAAATTTGCTTTCACCTCTTTTTTAGAGGGGTGGAGGACTGAACCCACAACCCAATGCAACACAAGAGCTTTTCCACTAAGCTACAATTCCAGTCCTTGCTTTCATCTTTAATAAATGATAAAATATATGTATACCAAGAAATTGTTTTATCATCAATAAATGTTTGGTTTGTACTGCTGTTTTAAATTACCAGGGTTATGTAAAAATTCTCAGGTGAAAAGGTATACCTGTGCACATATACCAGTTACTTTGTGTCCAATAAAAGAATGGGGAAGGGGAAAATGAAAGAACAGAGAAAACTATACTATAGTAGCCAGGATGTGGTGAAACCAAACTGTGACTTTCTAACTGAGTGTATTCTTGATCTTTCACAAAGCTCTGGAGTAGAGTAACAGATTCTTTTTTCAGTGACAGCTCCTGTCTGCTTCTGGAACAGGCCAACTGCATCTGCAGTCTTTGTTTCCAACTGTGTAGGTGTGTCTATTTTACTGATTGGCTGCCCACCAAATTGGAATCTGATCTGCCTCCTTAACAAGCATCATTCAAGTAGGTTTTCGTTAGTTTATTAAGTGCTGTATCTCTCTTAAATTTAAACTGCAGCACAGAGCCATCCTGTCATGCCATCTTCAAATCAGTATCATTGCTGTTCTCAGTCTTGACTCCTTAGGGCGACAGGGTCAGTCTGTCTATAGGGAAATGGGCCAAAGCTTTATGTAAGGGAAACTCCAAGAAATTGGAGATACCAGGAACATGGACCATCTGCCAAGGAAAGCATAGACCACATGTGAATCCACCCGAAGAGACACCAGGTGCATTGCAAACATCAAAGTCATAGAGGTAGAATTGTGAGAGGCATCTGGTGCTCACATCATACAACATGGTAAAGGTGCTGAACATGGAACTGTAGGACCTTAATGTTTGGAATGCTGGGTTTTAGTTTTGCTTTGGGTCAATCCTTCCTTGCACTAGAATACTCCCTTTCCTCATTTTGGAATGGATATGTGTACTGTGTGTCATTTTATCTTGGAAGTATGCAAATTCCTTCTGATTTTCCAGGGGCTCACAGCCAAGAGTCTGCTGTGAATCTCAGGACACTTTGAACTTGGGACCTCTGAATGATGTTGGAACTATTCACACTAAGAAGACTCTTGGAGATAGACCAATGCTTTTTGCATTTTGAGCCAGACATGAAACTTTGTGGGCCCAGGATAGAATTTTATGGTTTAAGGAGATATAGCTGAGTGTCAAGATGGTTAATCTTCATTATCAATTTGATTGGAATGAGAAGCATCCAGATGAGTACAGCACACCTCTGGGTATTTCTGTGAGGGTGTTTCCAGAAGATTAATTAAAGGAAGGGGATGTCTACCCTCACCGTAGGTGGCTGAGGGACAGACAGAATAAAACAGGGGGGAAAAAAGAGAAAGTCCCGAGAGCTGCATTTTCGGTTTCCTAGTTACCATTTGAGTTGCTGTGCTCTGCTTACCCTGCCCCCCAAGGAAGCCATGAGGATTAAACAAATCCTCACGTTTTTTGTTAGATATTTTTTCACAATGACAGAAAACTCTAATATATACCCCCAAAACTAAATGTACCAAACCAGACTCTGAAATTGCCCTTAAAGTAGCTAGGGCAGTAGTTTGGACGCTTAAGCAGCACACAGGAAAACATCTAGTTATCCGTAGCAACATTCCATATTCTCAAAACTTCCAAATCTAGCTAAACTTTTATTATTTTAATTTATACTCCCCTGATTAATAGTATGACTCAGTATTATTTTATGTTTGCTGGCCTTTTGTGTTTGGGATGAACTGCTGTTCATATAACTTACCCACTTTTACAAGTAGTGAAAGAGGGACTGGAGAGATGGCTCAGCAGTTAAGAGCACTGGCTACTCTTGCACAGAACTCGGGTTCAATTCTCAGCACCCATATGGCAGCTAAAAACCATCCATAACTCCAGTTCCAAGGGATCAGACACCCTCTTCTAACCTCTACGGGCATTGCACGACACTGGTGCCCTTATATACATGCAGGCAATACACTCATACACATAAAATAAAAATAGTGAAAGAAATGATAAATTTCCCCTTTGGCACAATGATTCCTCTGAGTTGAAGGCAACTGAGAAAAAACAAGTTCAGGGATGCTTCCATGACCTTCCCATTGGTATCTGAAAATTCAAAACAATGCAAAACCAAACCTGGAAGAAGAGGGAAGGCTGTGTTGGGGCAAGATCACTCAATTCTTGAGTAGATACATCTTTCACTTATGCTGTCACCTAGACTTGAGAGTCCTCTTGAATACCAATTCACACCAGTGACTCTCCAGAGAACCTCCACACCTTCAACCACACCTGGGGCCCACAGGGCAGTTTCCTTGCTCTGAGGCTTCCAGCTTCTTGGACTAAGTAGCTAATGGTTTTCTAGGCTCTCAAGCTAGCAAAAGACCATCGAGGGACTATCCAGCCCCTGATCATATAAGCCAATCTAATAAATCTTCCCCCATAATTATATATATATATGCGCGCATGCAGTTTACTGGTTCTTTTCCTCCAGAGAACCTACTATACCTATCTTTCAGTAGTTTGTCACATACATTTTCAAGTCATTTCTTCCACAATTTAACATCTCTAGCAAACTCATTCCTTGTCCTTTCTCCTTACCACATCTTTACAATTCATCATACTTTGTTCACATGGTTTATAAGATGTGAAGCCCCACTTTTTCTGTAGTCTTCATTTCTTATATATGAAGAACTCTGTATACATGAAAAAATATTCGTGTTAAATAAAATTTGTATGCATTTTTCTAATCAGTCTTTTTTTTTTTTTGTTTAAATCTTGCACTCAGTCACAAAACCTAAAAAGGGAGAGGAAAAGTCTTTCATTTACTTCTTTAGCACTTTACCTTTTTCTTATTGAATTATAAGCATTCTTTATATTTTCTTGTTTTTTTTTCTGTTATAGGAGTAGTGAATTTCTCCTCCCCCTCCTTCTCTTCTTACTCTCTCTCTCCCCCGACTTTCTTATTCCTCCCTCTCCCTTTCCTACTCCTCCATTACTTATGGCATTAAAGATTTTGCTGTTATTGTGCATTTTTTCTGTATAAAGTAGATCTTCCCTCTTCTAATGGACACATATATAGTTCTAGTTTACACATCTACATTTTAAATCAATGTGGCTATTTTATGATGGTATAAGCCTTTTCCCTACAGGAGCAACTGTATCATTATTGAATCTAGTGCTTTTAGAATCTTCATTTATTATTAAAGGCTTCCATAGGCATTTTGCTCTTTCTCAGTTCTGTAGTTTCCCCTGATCTTTACACCATAGTGGCCATAAACTTTTCAAAACTGTACTTCACACAGTATTTTTTGTTAGAAATCTGTTAATGTTATGTTTAAAAAGTACCACTTGTACATTGAAATAAAAGTCCACTTTAATATTTACCACACAAACATTTCCATACAGTTATCTGGAAATTATAGGACAATTTGTGCCTGTCATTCATATTACTATCCATTTAAGAACAAATACATATAACCATTTTTCAACTATATCAGCATAACACACAAGGCTTTATTTGTTTTAAACTTCTCAGTTAAAAGGAGACATTAAATAAGGAAAATGAAGGTCCAACAGTTCATTACTAGCAATATAAATTATAAAAATTATATTCAAATGTTTTACATTCTGACAACTTTGGGTTACATTTACAGTCTTATTTCCCAAAACCATAAATTACAACAAGGGTCACTGTCAGGGTGAAAATATATATTTTTTTAAGTTTTTTAAAATGTTATTATGGTTTGATATTATTTAATTTACTCTTGGCATGCATGGCATCTTAGAAAGTAAAAACACACTTGGCCAATTTTATGTATTGTGCAGGTTTAAGAGAAACAGCACAGTTTGGGAGCAGACAGACCTGTGTTCAATTACCAGCTTTGTTCCTAGTCCACGTTGTATGAGGCTGGTCAATTGTCTCTTGTCAGTAGAACTAGTATTAAAATTTTAAATGCTATTTAAAATTTATCATAAATATTTTTTCGATTCACTTCCATCTTATTCATATGGTAGCAACAGTAAACTATCACAATCTTCTACTGCATTATAATTAGGAAAACTGAAAAAATTAGGAAAGCAACAATAGAAATTCAATTTATACATAAAAATTGCACCTTTAATAAACAAGGAAATCCTTCAGCAAGAAAGAACAAATACTTCTTAATAAAACTTAGTGCCTACTATACCCTGATTTTAAAATAAATACTAAAATATGACAAAATGGTCAATGGTTAATTAAGGACTTTTGGTTTTATTTTGTGCTGCTAATATAAAAATAATGGCTATATTTAAGGCTTATTAAGTGATTGTGGTTGTCCTGAACCAATCTATATTCTTAGTGCTGTATCATCAATTGAAACAAACCAACTGTCTTACAGAGCCATCACAGAACACTCATGATATTCCCTATCACCAGTCATGGGCTCCTCTCTGACTCTAAGGTTCATTTGGTGCCATGTGGTAGCTCAGTTCATCTGTCTTTAAGAATGAATCACATTTGCAATAACAAACCTATCTTTCTCATGCTAAATATGGTGCTTGGAAGAAATGGGATTCCTGAAAATTAAATTTATATGGTCACAAGAAATAGGCTACTCTATATAGCAACTCTTGAATTCCTATTCTCAGATCATTTTTACTTCCTAGCTTAATGACCTAACAAATCCTCCTTCCAAATCTGACTCAAAAATCTCCTTTTCCAGAGAATTTTTCCTCATCCAACTTCATACCCCTACATTAATGTAACTTCTATTGAAGCACAATTTATATTAACTTCAACTTGCATATATTATTATTAATCAGGTTTTATGTGCCTTTAACTTCCTGCTATCATGTTGTCCTCAACTCTTCAAACCTCCCACAGTGGTTAGCACAGTGCTGTGTGTCTATGAATATTACTGCATGAATATGCACATGGGATGTGTGTGCATGTGTGTGTGTGTGCACGTGCATGTGTGCATGTACATATGTGCATGCGTGTGTTTGCTGAATAAATAAAATATAAATAACTTGGGTGTTTTCAGGGTAAAAAAAGTTACACGACTTGACAGAAATAAAAATTGCTGCACCTTCCTAATATTAAATGATCTGATCTCCAAAGCTATATCAGTGTGGTTTTAGAATGTCAATAATAAAAAGGCAGTGGAAAAGCTGTTTTAAAAACTCTTATGAAATATTCTAAAAGGTTTAATAAATTATTATTAAAAGCACCAAACTGAACCATTTTACTAAATATTACTAAATAGTGGTTTAATGTTTCCTATGACTTGTGAATGTAGACTTGTTTTTATCCAAGACAAAGAATACTGAACAGGAATAGGTGTTGTGAATCAGGATAAAAAGGCAGTTCACTCTAGGTCGATATCTAAATGCACACTTGCAAGTAATTTAAGACTCCTTCTGTGGTACGTACACGTTATCTTAATCAAAAGAATGGTTCGTATCAAGATGTCACAGAATATCAGTCATTTTGATACTATAAACCATGACATAATACTGAAGTTGTTATTTATCAAGAAAATTTTGTTTAGGATCGCTATTAATATTAAAATACGATATAATAAAAAATTATTCTCGATGTGTATATTTTCGAATTTTCCTGACAGTGTCCTTTTAAGAAATCTGACAATTTGTAGAGTACATACATTTGAATTTTACTTTTATAACTAAAAATATTACTTACATAATAACAAGTAGTAGCTTTTTACTGATGCACTGTGCAATTTATATTTAAAGCTTTGCAATAAAACAAAATTCACTGTACTTTTCATAAGTTAAATTATACAGCATGTAACATGAGCTATAATTACATAAAAAAGTAAATAACATAAGTAAAGAGGCAGTTTTAACTGGGATATTTTAGCTGTCATTCTAAATGCTAGTTTGTATTGACTTCTATTTTATTTTTGAACCCAAAAACTTTATTTTTGAATCTAGTTTGAAATATAAGCATAAAACGCCATATGCTTTTCCCCTTAGGTATTCTAAGAAATAAGGAAAAGAAGAAAAACATGGGCACAGACAGTTCTTTCTCTTGCTATGAAATGCTTCCTTACCTCTACAGACCACTCCCAGGCATTTCCAGAGCAAATATTATAAAATGACAGTTTTGGCAAATCATAACATTTTTAAAATGGTTTCTCACTTGGGTGAAAGAGAACAAATATTAAGCTAAGATTTTTGCTTTTTTTTTGGCTTACTCATTCTCAATCTTTTTCTCTAATATACATTATATAGAAGCACTTTTTGAAATGCTCACTAGTAACCATTTTAAACAACACAAATGAACTGGGTTAACTGATATAGTTAATGCAAATAGAAGACCAGTAGAGACACTACGGTGAGGTCCTAGAATTTGTTATACGGAGGGCTAAACTTGCAAGAGATCGCATGGCAAAAGTAGACACTTTGTGGCATATCCCGGCTTTTGAAATATAATTAGAAGCTAAGAGAAAAAGCCTTTCAGCACCAAAGGTATTAAAGTGCCCAGGAAGCACCTTCTCCACAAGACCTCTGTCCACTAATTCTATAAGACGTTCACAAGTTCCAACATAGTCACTTATCCTGCTGTATGGGAGCCAGTCAATCAGTGATCCATCATACACGACATCTCCACTGAAGAGAATCTTTCGGTCTCTGTCATGTAAGCAAATACTGCCTCTGGAGTGACCTGGCATGTGCATCACAGTGAGCTGTCTGTCACCAAGGTTGATCACATCCCCTACAAACAGAAATAGAAAGAGAATTGATAAATAAATATGACTATAGACTTTGACTTCAATTACTTAAAAAAATTAAATAGGTTTCATACAAATTAGGGATGACACATTTTTTCACTCCACAAATACTGTTTGTGTATGTGTGTCAGATGCATGTACACACGTTCTCGTATGTATATGTGTGTGAAGTCCAGAGGTCAATGCTGAGTATCTTCTATCACTCTCAATCTTATTTTTTGAGCCAGGGTCTCTGCTTCTCACTGAACTGGGTGGGAACTCACTGACTGAGCAAGATATTACATTTCTTTTTTTAAATGTTTTATTTTATTATTTTTATGCATATGAATGTATTGCCTGCACGTATGTGAATGCACCTATGTCATGAAATGCCACGGAGGTCAGAAGAGAGCTTCAGATTCCCCTAGAACTGGAGTTAAGGACGGTTTGTAAGCACCATGTGGGTGCTGGGAATCAAACTTGGGTCCTCTGCAAGAGCAGTCAGTGCTCTTAACTAGTGAGCCATCTCCCCAGCCCTGACATTACATTTCTTAATAATGACTTAAAAATAAGTGGTCAATATTTCATTTCTACTGTTTCTAGACTGGTGTTTGCCAAAGTGACTAATGTAGAAAATTATTTCTGAAGGCTATTTTAAGTTTGAAATAAGTTTAATTCAGTGGTCAAATAATTTTGAGAACTCTCTTGAAAGAAATCATCTTTAAAATTTTTATGTGTGTGTGTGTGTGTGTGTGTGTGTGTGTGTGTGTGTGTATGCATGTTTTCTGTGTGGATGCTGGTGGAGGCCAAAAGAAAGTGTTGGATCCTTTAGAGCTAGAGTTATAGGTAGTTATGAGCTGCCTTATCTGGGTACTGGGATTTGAACTCTGGTCCTCTAGAAGAACAAGCCCTCTTAACTGTAACTGCTGAGCCATCTCTCTAGCCCCTAATCGTGATCCTTTTGTATAGACTACTTACATATTTTAATATACTAATATTATTACAGATATACATAAATACAATTATACAATTTTCCAAACTTACTAGACCATGAAACTTTCACTCTTTAGAAAAGTTATGATATCATTATCCTGGTGGCATAATCTCTGAATGTTGTCTTAGTGAACTGCATCCAACTTTGCCTCTTATTGTGTTATCCTGTGGGAATTAGGGCTTGAGAAAAAGAGCACATGGTGATGTCCTGGGTGATGCTATTTCTGTGTATCACAAACTGTCCTATGTTTCTGACCCAGGAACTTCATATCTACTGTCATTCCCATTACACTGTTGCAGGTTTACTTGCTAGCACCCAAGTTGGATAAAATCTCAGATTCATTACAGATATTGACAGTGAAGAGGAAATGGAGCTATATAGTAGGGGAAGATTGCTGTTTCATTGGAATTAAATCAGTTCTATCCTGAAGTAAGTCAGTATACACTAAAAGATTCATATTGTAATCTCTACTGCAAATATACCGTATGAAGAAAATCAATTAAATATAACCATAAGTTAACAAGAAAACAAAATGGCATAATAATAAAGATCTGTTAAACATAAAAGGAAAACAATAAAGAAATAAAAGAATAAAAAAAATGAGACATAGTCAATAAATCAGAAGACCTAAATCCAACTGTGTCAATAGTTACACTACATATGACTGGGAAAAATAATCAAGGTCAGAGGTGGATAAAAAGCAAGATGCACAAAGTTACCAGAAGAGGATTTTATAAGTCAAGGATACAAGTTGTTGAAAAAGTTATACCACGTAAACTTTAATGATACAGGAACTAGAATTCCTATGTTATTTAAGACAAAATAGATTTTTGCCTAGGGAATATTACCAAAGAAAAGGAATATATTTTATGAGGATATGCTATATTAATACATTAAAAAACTATAAATGTGTATAGATCTAAAACCAAGAAAGAAAGTGCATGAAGAAAAAACTATCAACTTGATTAAGACTAAATGGTTCAACCAGGAGTAGTGGCTCACACATAAAATCCCAGCACTTTGTCATCTGAGGCAAGAGGACTACTGTAATTCAAGGCAACATAGTGATTTCCAGGGCATCCTGAGCTACAGGGTGAGAATCCTATCTCAAAAAGACAAATAAATAAATTTACTCTGAGAACTCAAAATTCTTCTTTGAGTAATTCATAAAACAAGTAAAAATAGAATTTGTTAATGTACAGAAGACCAAAACAACTCTTACCAATACATTTAACCTAACTGACATATATAAAACAACTTACTCCAAAATAGAGAAGTAATATTCTTTTTGTTTTGTTTTGTTTTTTAATTATTTAATAACCACATGATTAGAAGCATTTCATTACAGCATTAACATATTCAATAACAATTTCCAGAGCAAAGATGCTTCTCTTTCAAAATTAGCTGTAAATTTTGAGGTTCACAGTTAAATTAATACAGTTATACAATATTGAACTCAGTATAACCCTTATAAGACATAAAATTGAATGAGGTTTTAACTTTTTTTTTTTTAAATTACAACATAGAATAAGTAGATTTAATAAATGTTTATAGCATATTTCATCCAACAGCTGTGGAATATACATTCTTTTCAGCAGTCCAGGTAACTTTTTCTAAAATAAATCATATTTTTTTTATTCTTATTCTTTTATGAAGTTAGTAATATTCTTTTTAAGTATACATGGAATATATTAGGCTATAAAGCTAAGACATAAAGCAAACTACAATAAATTTAAAAGAAATAAAATCATGCAAAATATGTTCTCTAAACAATATAATTAAAAGTATTATTAGAAATAACTAGAAATTACAAGTAGATAATTTATAATGCATTTTAAATAAACAAAAATAGTAACAATCAAAATAGAGAGCAAAAATAAATATAGGAAATATTCACACCTATAAATATCACATTTCTACCTAACTTATAGAATCAAAAGGAAATTAGGAAGTATCTTGGATTAAAGTAAATTTAATGAACTCAAAGCATACAAAAACTTATGGAATACTGATAAAGCAGTACTTAAAAGATAATTTATTTAAATGCTTATTTTATAAAGTATTAAGTGTTTGAAACTAATGCCATGATAACTATCTTAAGAAGATAAGAAGGGCAAATCAAACACAAACTGTGTACTAAGAAAGAAATAACGATGGGCTGGGGAGTTGGCTCAGTTTGCTGGTCAGCCAGCCTAGCCAACAGGGGAGCATCAAGTTCAATAAGAGACCCTTGGTCAACATACAAGGTGGACAGCAATTGAAGGAGACACTGATGTTGACCTCTGGCATCCACACACATGCACATCCATGTGTGTACATGCACACATACACTACACTACACACATACACACATGAGTGCACACACACACACACACAATTTAAAAAAGAAGGATAAAGAGTGGGCATGCTGGCACATGGCATTAATTCCAGTACTCTGGAGGCAGGGGCAGGCAGATCTCTGAGATTGAGGCCATCCTGGTCTACATAGTGAGTTCAAGGCCAGCTGTGGCTACAGGGAGACCCTGTCTCAAAAAGACAAAAAAAAAAGATGATAAAGAGCATAGAAAAAATAAATAAAATAGGAAACAAATGTCATTAGAGGAAAATCAATGAAGGAAAACAACAACTATAGATCAATTTCTCTGAGAAACACAGATGCCAAAAATCATAAATAAAATACTTGCAAACCAAATTCAACAGCATTAAAAAGATTATATGCCATATGCCATAACTGAGTTGGTTTCACTCCAAGGATACAAGGATGGTGTGGTGGTTTGAATGAGAACATCCTCCAGAGGCTCCAAGTATTTGGACACTTGGTCCCTAGTTTGTGGTCTGTTTGAGGAAGGTCAAGGAACTTTTAGGAGTTGTAGTCAAGCTGGAGAAAGCATGTCACTGGGGGAGGGATTTGAGAGTTCTTAAGTCTTGCTGGGTTTCCTGTCATGCTCTGTTTCCTGTCTACTTGAAGAAGTGATTGCTTGGCAAGTGAGGCAGAAAGAAATGCTACTGCCACCATGCCTCCCTCATCATTGACTCCCCCCAGAGCCATAAGCCAAATAAATTCTTTCTTCTATAAGTTGCCTTGGTCATAGCGTCTTATTGCAGCAACAGAAAAGTAATTAGTACAGAAGTTGGTGAGTGTTGGCTGTGAAGAACCTGTCCATGTGGGGTTTTGGAGGAATGTGGAAGTCTTCAGAGGTTTGGACTAGAAAAGTTGTTGAATGCTGTAAGCAGAGATTAATGGGCCATTCTAGTAGGAGCCTGGAAGAAAGTAGTGCTGAGAGCAAAATTAGTTCTAGAGGGAAATAAGGACTTAAACAGCAACTAGGATATTTTGGCAAAGCATCTGGCTGCAGTCTGCCTCCAGCCTAAGAACTTGCCCAGTTGAAAAGTAATGGACTAATTTCTTTGGTGGAGGAAATTTCAAGACAGCCTAATGTAGAAATGGTGGCATAGCTATTAATGGTGAATGTCATGGAGCTCTACAATGAATAAAGAGCAAATGAGGCAGAAAGAAATGAAGAAAGCAGTTCGGATTGAAAAAGAGCACTAGGAAAATTAATGTTGGAGCCAAGGCATGTGATGAAGTAAAGGCTCTCTTTGATAAGGAGACTAAAGCCTTTAAGGAGAGGCCTAGAGATTAGCACTTGAACAGTGGAAAGTGTACCTTCAGGGCAAGACCACATCAGCTAAACCTCCAATTTGTGAAAGGAAAATATCAGACTGGTTTTCTACTCCTAGAAAACCACAGCATAGAAAAGCTATGAATGTGGATGAGGCACACCAGGGTCCATCCCAGGCTGGCATCCAAACTTGGCAGTTGTTCACATGCTGGCTTTAGAGGCAAGAAAGATGCAAGAGTAAAGGGGTCATAGGTTCCTCCACAATTTCAGAGAGTTGCCAAGGCTAGGCAACATGCAGCAGGGGCATCCCTGTATAAAGAAGGCCCTGACAGGCCACTGTGTGAAGCTGTGAAGGTAAAGCCTGGTTGGTAGTGGAGACTCCAAGATG